TTGTTAAAGAAATGACTAGACGGGAAATGGTTTTACACAGCTTCACGAGGATTTAGACCCCTCGGGTAAGAGATTTGAATGAGTATAAACTTTTATCAGAAGCCAGAGAAGTCATCTTACAGGTAGACAATGCAGCTCAGTTTGACAGCTAAGCACGCTCTGTTCTCCAGTGGCTCGATTGTCGTCATTGGACCACGTGACCACGTAGCTCATTAACTCCCAGGCCAAGCAAATAGGACGTTTTTTAAAGCCAAAAATTTACAAAATGAGCTTTTAATTTGTGTATTTGGATAAAGATAGCGTTAGTTGGGCATGTTTTCTGAAGAATATGTTCCGTTCAGGCCATTCTGACGGCATGAAGCAAACCCTTTAAATATAAGACTTCTGTTCCAATCAAATGTGCAATGAAAATTGTATAACTGTAACCTCACAATACAATTTCGATGATATCAAATCACTGAACTAAATAGCTACAGTTAAATGGCATTTAATCATTTTTTCATAGTATCACTATTTCGACAAAATGCACCGAATGTGACAATACCCTTTTAATTCTGCGAAAAAGTGCCCCAAATATGCGAATTCTATGTAAATGATGAATGTTTAGGAGCACCTCTAGCCGATATTAGTCTTCAGCTCAACTGTCATAAATATCGTATGGACTTTACTGCTATTAAATACTCTTAACATAAAACAATCTGTCGACGGATAGCCTTCATTTCCACATAGGGGAATGGAAATGGGCATTTTACAGAGACAGTAAAATCCCAGGGTGAAAAACTATAACAAATGTTACCAAAGATGGTCGAATTGTTAATCCGACAGGAAAGACAAATGTATTAAGTTGAAAGTGCCCTCAAACTCCCATGATCATGAAAGACGGTTGTTTCAACTGTCAACAATAAATGACAAATATACATCTATTAGGCTTATGCTACCTGGTATTAATTTGGACACATATTTATGTTCATTATGTTTGGAAATCGATTTTCTTCCTCCTGGGTAATGCATTTTGGAGCAGAAATTGAAGTTGTTGAGTAATGGACCAACGTGGAAGATTAATTAATTGGACCTGAAAGAGTGGTAGACTCCTCTATTAACTTATGACAGCGCAGCCTTTACTAAACCGATGAACGAATCTATGAAGCATAACGTCAGTTTATTCATTTTTTTTTTTTTTTGAGACGCAGTCAAATTAATTATAAATATGCAACAGGCATACGTATTCTTAAATTTGACCCTTCTTGCATTATAACTAGTTTTATAATAGCTTGTGCTTACTATCGAATGCTTACTGATATTAAATTATGAGCCTATAAAGGTTTCCTCTCTTTCTATATGATGATCAATAAAATGAGCTTGAAGATTTTTCATTCTAATCTATTTCTTTAATTACTAAATTAAACAATCGTTACAAATATAGACAAAGAATGAAATGTATAGTGCAATGACAACTACTTTAAATTAAAAACTTAAACAGTTATCATACAGTTCCGGTTTCTACTGTTTAAAGCATGTTTAGCTGTAGTGTAAAATGTATAATCCATCGCCCCATTTCCATAGATTAGATCGACCTACTAACTCCCTGGGGGTTCACGCTAAATAGCTGTCAGCCGGGCGGACACGAAAGTTAATTACCCCCTTACAGCTTGTAGTAGGCGGGACGGACATTTAAGTCGGATTATCTTAAAGTAATCTAGTGAGACTCCCCGCGGGGATAGATCGATCTAAAATCTATGGGAATAGAGCCCATGACATCTTCCCTTTCAACAACAATTGAATTTTTCCCTTTTGGTAATATATTGCGGCTAACATACATGTAACTGTCACAGTCTTAAACTAAAGTAAAAGTGCAAAAATGTGATATATAGAGCTCAAATAAGTCGAAAAGATAAAAAAGACTCATTTATGCAACAAAAAAAAATTATTTAAAAAATGTGGTCCAATAAGTGCCTTCAAATGAAAAGACAATACTTGATAATTCTGTATTCAACATGCAATTAGGCCTATACACAAATACACTTAAAAGCTAATTCATGTCAGATGCTCAACTTCATGAACTAATTAAAACAACTGAATAGATCGACCGAATCCTTTGGTCTGACTTATAAAATATCTGAA